TTCATCACCCACATTTGCCTGTTTTCTTAGTTTTTAATTGTAATGATTCATAGTTATCAATTTGGAAAAATTATATACAAAAATTTAGAATATAAGTAAAATTTAATATAGGATTTAAAAATACACTTTTTGTCCTAAATATAAATGCTAATTTGTGCATTTAATTTATATAACTGTAATATTTACATATTATTATTCTTAGAAATTCTGTGTATTTTTCAAATATTTTTTGCCATTAATGATTACAAATGCATGCAAGGAGGAAAGGGGAAAAGTCATAACAATTTTTGGATACAGTATATATTTTGAAAACTGAGAACCATAATGGATTTTTGGGCCAAATCTGGGACATATTTTCACTTCAGTGGTAGAATGATGAGAATTCAGTTCTTGGCTAAATGTCGAAGAATGCTGCTGAAGACGGAGGAATGAGAAGAGAGTTGTATGTAACTGCTAACTTTTCCAGCAAGAAGAAATAGCTCATTTAAAACAAATATCAGCTAATATAGAAACTCACATGACTAATTTTATTATGACTAATAGAAGTATTTGTTTTATTTTTAATTACCAAAATTAAAAAAAAACTACTTCAGAGAGAAAACTGCCATGTTCTAAGTAAAAAATGGTATTTCTTATAATATCTTTGACTTTCCTCTGGAATTCTGAGAGTTTTTTAAAAAGGATACTTTGCTTATATATCACAAGCATGCCATATGTTCATGTAGCATGGCAACAAAGATAATACTAAACAGCAGCAACATAAATTGAGTCCCTATACTCAGAGAGAAATGTATAAAAAGTTTAAGTGCTACTAAAAACAACAGTTAATCTTATTACCTGGTCAGCATCAACAAAAATGATTTTGTCCACTGCTAGAGGAAAAAGGACATCAAGGAAAAGAATTTTGTAACCCCAAATAATCCTTTGTTTTTCAGTCTGCTGGTGAAGCCAACGGGGCCACCTATATTGGACTAGTTCATATTGGAATCCATATTCCTTAGCCATGTGGGGAATTACCTCCTAAAAAAATACACATACACACAAATCAAAGAATGTGTTTAAGGAGAGAAAGTAGTTTTTGTTTTAGAGAAAAAAATCATCATTTTAAAAGGTAGAGTTTACTATAAACTATTACAAACTAATTGGTAAATGTAAACCCTACTTCTACAACTTGTACCTATTTATGAAAAAGCTGGCACATATAAAAATACAGGAGTACATAAAACTATATAATTAAATGACATTAAAAGTAGGTACAGTATATTAACTAGCAAGCTCATTAACTAAAACAAATGTTCCCCTGTTTCTACCACTAAAGTTCGACTTGAGAACACCTGGCTACAGAAGCAAAGCCTCTGGATCTTAGAACATCTGTGCACCAAACAGTTCATATAAATATCAACATGTTGGTTTGTCAGAGAGCTACAAAGATGATGAGGACGTATGAAAAACACAAAGTGAGCTGTAAACTGATAAATTCTCTACATCTCAAACAGCTCATGTTTGAGGTTTATTACTATTTAATTCAAGGATTAAAAATACAAGGTATAGTAGTCTGAATATTTCATATTTGATTTAGTGTCTTATAAGCTTAGATCTAACTCTATTTAAACCAGAGCAGTTAATGAAATACACTGTTGATTAAGTTTGACTTAAGAGCCCCCAAATTGAGAGGGAGAAGCGACAAAGGATTGTGTGTGTGTGGGGGGAAAGATGGGTTAGCAGATGTAGAATTTGCATTTATCTCCTCAGTTTTCATCTGTAGCTAGTTGCTGGTTAAAGACTTAGCTTCATTTTCTCCCTCCTTCTGTCAGAACAATGTAGACTTAAATTATATTCTTTACTATAAGCACCAGTTTAATCTGTGAATTGAAATGTTGAAATTATGGTTACAGCAGTTTCGGGGAATCATTGATTTAGTTTCAAAATTTAAAAAAAATTAGAAAACCTTTTTATTCAGCAAATAGATATTTAAAATTATTCAATGAAGATGAACTATGCTAGGCCATAGGGATACAGTAATAAACAAAACAGGTATAAATCATGGCCCTCATGAGCTTACAGTTTAGTGGTGGTAGGAAGAAAACAAACAAAATTAGTAATTTACCTATAGAAGACAGTGCTATAGAAAAAAATACAAGGGGAAGGAAAATAGAGTGACAGATCAGATGGGATTGTAATTTTACACAGTGTCGTCAGGAAAAAATTACTCCCTAAGCAGCTAAAATTTAGCAAAGATTTAAAGGAAGAGAGGAGGTATGTTTTTAAAAATTGGACGGAAAGGATGGAGGGCATTAGTAATTTCTGTTTCTGGATCTGGCTGCTGGATACACAAATGTAGACACAGGTGTTTTAAGTGTGTAAAAATTCACCAAAGCAGCACATATGATTTGCACACATATTTCACTGAAAAGTTTTAAAAGACAAAAATTTTGAGGGAAAGGAACAAAATTACAAAAAGGGAAAATATTACTTCAGGTATGGTATTACTTTTGGCCATGGAGTGAGTGATGCAAGACTTTTATCCCGATGTAGCACTCACTGTATTTCTAGTGAATGATGTTTCCTGCTGTGAGACTTTTTAGATTTTATTACCTCAGTGTATGTTGCCCTCGATCCCCCTTTGCAGTGGCTGTCTGGTAGAATAACATGTTAAATGTTTACTAACAAACTAGTATGACTTCTTGTTTATATTTATGGGTTCCTTTTCAGTTTTATGTCTACTGTCAAATGAGCACAGGAGGCAGAAGCCTTGGCTGTAGCGGGCAGGCGGAGTGACTACTGCATAGGGACCAGGCATCTGGGCTTTTAGGCCAGAAAGCTGGAGTTCAGGTCTTAGCTATGTTCCTTGATTAGCTGTTTGATCTCAGGCCTGTGCTATAAAGTACAAATCTTGCTTAAAGACAGGTTGGCCCTTTGCCCCTGGCTCTTGGGTGGTAACTTCTACCTTTGGAATGTTCTGTCTAATAAGAATGTCTTTATTTACCTGGGGAATGCGGCCCATGTCAGTCTCTGTAAACAATGTGATTTATGGTGGGGACCTTAGGCCTCAGTGTATCAGCTCAGCCTCTAGAGGGGCTGAGACTAAGGTCAGCCACAGTGGTCGCTGGGTGAGACTATGTAGCCAACCCCAGTAAGAACACTGGACATCAGAGTCTCAGCGAGCTTCCCTATCGGCAATCCTCCATGTGTATCGTCACACGTTTTTGCTGAGAAATAGCTCTCTCCACATGACTCCACTGGGAGAGGAAAACTGGAAGCCCTGAGTCTGGTCTCTCATGGACGCTGTCGTATGCGTCTTTTTGCTTTGCTGATTTTAATTTGTATCCTTTTGCTGTAATAAACTGTAACCGTGAGTATAATTGCTTTTCTGAATTCTGTGAGTCCATCTAGTGAATTATAGCACAGAAGTGTGGTCTTGGATACCTCCTAACTGTATGGCCAGTTATGTAATTTCTGAGTCTTGGTTCTGTGGTAATAGGACTTTATGAAACACAACTGAATACTGCAGGTAGTTAGTAATGTGTCTGAAAATATTATGGCATAAAGCCATGGCTGCCTCTTTTTATTTCTGCCTTTACCACTGATTTTGGTCTAGAAAAAGAGGACTCCTTTGGATTGTTGTTAAACGAAACCCTAGTTTTCATGGAATCTGATTAATTTGTAGTGAAAACTGGAAGAAACAGGCCATACTTTGCAGCAGGGGAGTGGGAATGAGTAAAGGGTAACAGATGTTGGCCATCTGAAAACTCTAAATATGTCTCAGACTTCTAAATATAGTGCCCATACTACCACAGTAATCAGTGTACTGAACAAAGATACAAGCTTATTGTTCTTGTTACAACTGGATTGTTTTCTAAGGTATAGTGTTCGTATTTTCTTGATACTACGGTTCCTGCCTATCCTTGTAAAAATAATCGAATTCTTTGGACAATCTACATATTTTTCATTGCTAAATTTTTATTTATTTATTCATTATCATGAAAAACCATGAATCCTTTTAATTTTGTGTTTACTTAAAAATAAGCCATCTCCTGTGGTCCTTTTAAATACTTCTTTAAGTAAAAATTACATATAATTTTACTTGTTAGATAAAAAATACTGAATAACCAACATTTTAAAATTGATTAAAAATAGTAATTTGAATAAATATACATTTCTAGACTCATTCTGAAAAGAGAAAAGCTATATGAACTTACAATGATATAAGAATTTACTATTCAAACAGTAACGATTCTATAATAAAAAGATTAATGTACTTACTTTAAATGTTGGTGAGAGATAATTTTTTAGGAACCAGAATTTCACTGGTGTTTTGGTGTTATGTAACACAGAGAGCATCATGATTCTGTATAAAAGAACATTAAATCCAGTAAGTTAACATTAATAGCTCATCCTACTTTTCATAAAGCTTTTAAATATTTAAAGGTATTAAGTAGAATTATAAATTATGGAGAAATACATTAAAAGACCTTCAAATATTATGGTTGCTTACCAAGTATGTAATGTATAAGAATATATACTTACAGACGGTCCTCAGCATATGATGGTTTGACTTAGGAATTTCTGACTTTACAATGGTGTGAAAGCGATATGCATTCAGTAGAAACCATACTATGAATTTTGATCTTCTCTGGGGCTAGTGCTATGTGGTTTGATACTTTCTTGGGATGCTGGACAATGGTGCAACATGATTTGGAATTATAGGATAATGTCAGTACATTTAAGGTAGGCTATGCTAAGCTATGATGTTCAATCGGTTAGGTGTTTTAAATGCATTTTTGACTTATGATATTTTCAGCTTATGATGGGTTTATTGAGATATAACCCCATCGTAAGTCAAGAAGCATCTGTATTCATATACCTGCTGTAGACGAAATTGATCGCTTTTTGTTTTTTACAGCTGACAAAGAAAGAAGCTAGTCTGAAATAGTCTTTATTGGCTTGTCTACTGTGTCATTAAGAGCAGGTGTGCAAAACTTGAAGCGTTGAAAGATTTGTCTATATTGATAAATTCACTGGACAGGTCACTTGATTTGTTATTCTAGACTTCTGATTGGAGAAGATACAGATATATCTAAAGTTCCACCTTAAAATGTCAACACATATTCAAACATTTCTGAGGTAGTCTCTGTGATCCTATATAAACAGTTAAAATATAGCCCTTTGTAGTTTGTAAATATGCTTCCCTCCTCTCACTATCCCCTCCTCCTTTTTTATAAAACAAGACATTTGTTCATTGGGAAACAAAAATTTATAACATATACTTCTTCTCACATATCATATTGTTACAAAATATGTCTATTTTCTAGCCTGAAAGAACATCAATATTCCAAATCAATCAAACTCATGAAATTTCACTGTATTTAAAAAATATACTTCACTCATAATTTTAGGTTAAAAAAAAGCAAGGGGCAGAATAGTATATACTTTTTGTAACTGGGTAAAAGAAGTTAAAAAAGCAAAAATATATATTTGCTTGTCTATACATATTTTTGGCAGGATGTAAAAATTATATTGGTTTCCTATGGGAAAGGGAACTGGGTATCAAGAAAAACAGAAGTGGGAGATTTTTTTCACTGCATATTCTTTTATTTTTTTGAACTTTAAAAATTCTTTTAAAAATTCTTTTCAAACCATGCAAATGCATTACTTTTCAAAACATTAGATAAAAAGTATTCTTACCTTAAAAAGCGTTCATATAAATGGCCAGAAGCAACTGAAAAAATATTCAGAATGTCTGTATCCTTGTCTTTTTCTTTATGCAAACTTCTTGTGAAACTTGGAATAAAAAAGTAGTGACTGACAATTTCTAAATATACATCTGCAAACTTTATGTACCAAAATAAAATGCTGTTTGATAAGCAAAAAAAATAGGAATGCCTTTCAAAATGAAATTACACTGTAAACAAGCTCTTCTAACAATTACAAATTATTAATATTAACAAGTGACAATATAAGTTATATGATTTAAAAAAATTTATAACATAGAATGCAGTTATATCGTCTCTGGGTTAATGAGGTAATATCTTTGAATCTTTGTGAATTACAAATGTTTTGAGAACAAAGAATGAGTTACGGCATGCTATGGCTGGTAATGAGGTAAGAAAGAGAATATACAAGTATGTAACTCTTACAGCAAGAGTTTTCCTATGTGGGAATAATAGGGTAGGTCCTTGAGTGCTTGTGACATGGCTTCCCTAGGGTAAATACTATAAAAGGTGTCTATAATTTAGAGCTCCTCTGGCCAGTTACAATCTCCACTCCATGCAGACCACAGAGATTTTACATCACAGTGGCTTATTGTGGGCCCAGTTGTTATTTTCATCAATTTTTGGGACCCAGACCAGCCTTTTATATGCCCTATCTCATATACAAAAGTGACGGAATCTTTTATTTGGGGTATTCATAATGTATAATTTCTTCTTTTTCCTATTTAAAATTTTGATTTAATTAAAAATCTCAGTTTTTATAAGCACAGATACTCAGAATGACTAAAATGTGGAAAACTAAACAATTTACAATTATCATGCAATATATTTTGCCAAAAGGAATTGTTATGATGGAAGTATTTTTCAAAGCTTATTGTAATCTCTCCAGTAGGAAAAACACAAGTTGATTCATTGGAAAAATAATCACTCTAATTTAGGATAAAACTAAGATAAAATGTGAAAGTACTTACGTATCTGGAGGGGTTACCATCTCTCAAACAAAGTATAGCAAATGGCTATGCCTTAGTTTAATGGTTATATTTATTCATTCTCATCTCTACCTTCCGGTTTTAATGGAAGCTTATGGACAGATCCTCTTTAAAATGCTTAGATTCTGTTTTATTATGCCCTGCCAAACATACTTATTCTTCAAATTATCTCACAACGAGTGGATCTGAGCCCTTCTCTATCAGTAACTAGTTCAATGAACACACTGGGACAGTAACATGATTCTTCTTATCAAACAAGGGGTCAACTATCAAAAAAGAGACCTAAACTGGACAAAATGCAAAATGATTGGAGTGTTTCTGATTGGTATAACAAAATCTGCTGAGGCTGTTGAATCTATTTGGCCAAAAATTTCTATTTCTTAGCCTTGATCAAAATGATCAATGGTTCTCCATCATAATCAAAAGAAGTTCAAATCTCTAAAATGTACTTTCAAAGTTCTCTACAATGTGGGTGTACAACAAACAGCTTTTGTTTTTGTCTGCCTAACATCCTTTACACTTCAATAACAATAACATGTTATTTTGAGGCGAGAGGCATTCCTCCTCCAATTTCATTCTATGAGGTTTAAGTGGGACAGGCCTTCTCACTGGTTCTAGAGGCAGGCATATGACCAAAGCGTGGTCAGGCACAGTGATCAGTGCAGTTTGGGATACATGGCTAGAGCTGGACCAATGAGTCAGCCTTGCATCTTTTGCTGGTACCACTTAGAAAGAGGCAATCTCTTCCTACTGGGGATGGCACACTTTTCCTTATAAAAATTTATCTGAAAATGAAGAAGACACAGAAAACAGAACTGAGAGATGGAGAGTTTCCAGACCACATCACCTGAATGCCCAAAGCCAGCTCTACTCCTGCACTCTTATAGATATGTGAGCCAATGTATTCCTTTTCTGATTAATAATAGGTTCCAATCAAACTTATAGACTCCTAATGATATTCAATGTCTCAGCTAACCTGGGCTGTTTTCTATTCCTTGAGGAACATACTCAATCTTTTTAACTTCATGTAACCAGGTACCTTCATTCCATCACCAGCTTTTGAAATCCTGTCTACCCCTCAGAACACATCTTAGCCACACACTTCTCCAAGGAGTCTTTTTTGAGGTTACTCCTAACTGAATATAGCCTTTTTCTTCATTGGTTTGTATAAGCACTTTATTTTCAGCTGTCTTACAGCTTCAGTTTCCTATCTTGTATCTTTAATATTTATGTATCTATTTTATCCCTCCTAGAGAAGAGGATCCATGCTTTACTTATTGGGTTGTCAGAAAAGTCATGACGCATTTTTTGCAACAAAAAACATAGAAAAAATACATCATGACTTTTCCGACTACCCAATAAGTATTTGCCATTTGCAGGGTTTCCACATGCTAGGTGGGGGTCTATAGTTATGTGTTAGAAAATTCATTAGTAATTACCTTCTAATGGAATCCCACAGTCCCTTTTTTTCACCTTTGTCATTAAGGCTATCTTCTTTAATTTTGTCTGGCTTTTTCTGCACCTAGATAGCACGGTAAAGAAAAAAAATTTTAGAATTTTGCATCTTTAAATATTATGTGCATGTTTAGTATTGGGCAGGGTGACCCTTGCAAATCTAAGACAGCTGCAGTAAATGAAGTAAGGCAATATCTTGGTACAACATTATAGACACAGTCTGGTTTCCACCCTTGTTTTCAGTTCTTTTGGTGGTTACCTCCACATTGCTAAATAATGTGCTTATTCTTGTATTTACTGATTTATCAACTTTAGACATATGTACTAGTGTATCTGGACTCATAGGGTTTAGACATTATTCATTCTTTATGATGCCAGATGAGTAGCTCACTTATATCTCCCCTTCCTCCCTCTTTTTGTCTGGAAGTTTTAGTAATACCTTTATCATTAGTTTTTCTACCAAGTATTTTTGTAACTTTAAATAATATTTAAATCTCTATTTTCTATACCAACAACTTCAACAGTTCGTCCTGTATACCGTGTTTATAAGATAAGGATACTAATAGCTCTCTCTACCTGTTCCCTTCACCACTCAACTTATATTAGCTAAACCTTTACTTCAGCATTGTAAATACAGGTAATACTTACACTTAGTTCAGTAAACATAATTATATCTTTTGCACTTCAATACGTTTATTCTACAACTTGAAAATCAGTAAATAGTGCTTATTGTTATAATATAAATACTATTCATTGAAGAATCTGAAAAGTTACTACAATTATATTTTCTCCATACAGTTATCCACTTGGGGATTCTTGCTAGTTCAAATGGATTCTGCTTTCTTACATTTCACCAGTAGATAAATACTTTTTCTTGTATTTATTTTTTCTTGTGGTGAGATATATTTCCTCTTTACCATATACCTTAGTATTTTCCAGTTTATAATTCATGTTACTTAATTGTCTGGAATTCCTGTCTTCTTGAAGACATTTTTCTTAACAATTAACTTGAATTAATGAAGCTTAACAATGAACTAACTGCCTGTTTATTTCTAGGTCTTTTTTACTTTAATTTTCAGATTAACATCACCATTTCTTGAAATACCTATTATCCTCTTTCTTGAACTTCATCTTCACTGTGTTGGCAAATACCTTCAAGAAGGGGTGTGAAAAATAATTTTTCTAAATCTTCATATTTCAGAAAATAACTTTATTTTGCCTTCACATTTGATTAAAAATTTGGCTAAAGAATCCTAGGTTCAAAATAATTTTTCTCAAAACATTAAAGGCTTTGTTTTGCTGTCTTGTAACATGCATTTTGAAAATGAAACGTCTGATGCTAGTGTTAGTATCATTCTATTGCAGTGACCTGACTTTTCTCCTTGGTAGCTATTAGGATCTTATTTGGGCCATTTTTCATTCATCCTACTTTGTGGACTCTTTTGACACGAATATTTTTATTTCTCTTAACTGTGGTATACTTTCCCTCCTCCATTTTCTCTGTTTCTTCTTTCTACAATTCCTATTAGTCAGCTACTGAAGTTCATGGGCTAGTTAATTCTCTATGCTGCTTATTTTTTCACCTCCCTTTTTTCTGTCTTTCTGTGTAATTTTGAGAGATGAATGATGAGGAGGTAAAGCCATGTTACTTAAAAACAACCGAAGGACCTAGGTGCCTAGACTTCAGAATGGATGACCCTCAAAGATTTGATGGTTATAGTGAAAGAGATATGCTCTATACTATGGGTCAACAGGTCAAGTTAGAACCAATACACAGAGTTCAAACAAAAGTTCAGCTCAAGAAAAAGAAAACTTAAACCAATTTTCAATGGTCAAAATTACTGAAAGATGAAATCACCTCCCTTCCTCCGCCAAAAGGTATTTCTCTTCTGTTTGCAGGGCTAGGATAAAACTAGCTGAAATGCTGGTCCTAAAGGGCTTGAGCTGAGTTAGTATCTTAAGCAGCTGGGCTGGGTTTTGTGGGGTTTTCCATCTGGAATGGCCAGAAGCAAATGTACTCAAGGAGAGAATATAAGTTCTTATTGAGAAAGGAAGTTAAAGTCATAGGAGAAACAGCATCAAAGATGAGTGTGAGCAACACGTGTAGCTGATCACTGGATAAAGGCCAGAGGTGAACAGGAATAGGTTATGATATGGGATGCAAGGTCAAGTTTGCTGATGCAGTAGTTTAGGAGCTGGGCAATATATAAGTAAGAGCTTTGGTAGCCTACTATGCTCGGATCTTAGAGATCTCAACCATATGGATATTTCCTATTAACTTCTTCTCTTCTCCACTGTAGATAGAGGACATATTCTGTATGATTTCATTCTGAAATTTGTTGAAACTTGATTTTCAACTAAATGGAAAGCTAATTTTTATCAGTGTTTTCTGTGTGTTTCAAAGACTGCATTTGGTGTTATTGGGTGTTGTGTTCTATGTATGTCTGTCAGTTTAAGATTCATAAACATAATGTTCAAATCTATCTCTATTGGTTTTTTGGTCTGCTTGTTGTATCAAGTATTAAGAGCTATGTGATAATATCTCAATATAATATAGAATTGTCAGTTTCTCTTTGTAATTCTATTTTTGTCTTATATATAAAATGACTTATTATTAGTAGTGTTATTTGTCTTAATGTCTAGTATCTCTGATATTAGTATAGCTATACAAGCTTTGTTTAGGTTAGTATTGGCCTAGTATACTTTTGCCACACATGTATTTTCTTTTCATCCTTACCCAGAAGCTGTGTTCCTATGTATTAGATGTGCTTTCTGCAAACAACATATAGTTGGGGTTTTAAAAAAATCCAATAGACAATCTTTGTCTTGTAACATTTAGTCCATTTATATTTAATATACCATATTTCCCCATGTATAAGATGCTCCCTTTTTCGAAAAATTTGGGGTCTAAAAACTGGGTGCGTCTTATACAGTGGTTGTAGATGTTTTACTTGCATTTCCCGCAAGTGATGAGGAGTTGTATGAATTTTATGATGAATAAAACTTGAGTTCAATAACTTTATGTAATACCTTTTTTTCAAATTTCGGGCCCCCAAATTAAGATGCGTCTTATACATGGGTGCATCTTATACATGGGGAAATACGGTAATTGGGTTAAATTTTAACTTACTATTTTGTGCTTCTTCTATGTCCCCCCATGTTCTGCTTTATTCCTTCTCCATTTATTTCTTAGTTCATTTATACTGATTTACTTTATTCTATTTTTTCTCTTTACTATGAAATTGTGCCTTTTTTTTCTACTCTTTTAGTGGCTATCTTAGATATTAAAAAAAATCACATTTGCTCTTATGTCTAAAAGTAATCATTACCCTTACCCTGAAAAATACAAGACCTTTATATGTTATTGCATACAACCCTATTAAACCTTAAATGCTATTATTATGTTTTTAATTCTAAAGATTTAAAAAATCCTTATGATATTATTATTGTTTTATATATTTACCGCTCAGAAGCTCATCCACATATTTACCATTTTCTTTTCTCTTCATTTTTTTCAAACTCTGACTCTCTATCTAAGACAAATTTTTTTTCTGCCTGAAGGACATCTTTTAGAATTTCTTTTTGTGTGAGTGTACTGGTGGCAAACTCAGTTTTTAATTTGTCTGAAAATGCCTTGTTTTATGTTTCCTCTTGAAAGGTATCTTTTCAGGATGAATTATTCTAGGTTGGCATTCCTTCTTCCACTCAGTGCTTTTAAATATAATTCCAGTATCTTCTTGCTTTCATTGTTACTGCTGAGAAATCAACTGTCAAAGTATAGCTATTTGAAAGTAATTTTCTTTTTTCTTCTGGTTACTCTGAAGATCTCTCTATCTGGTTTTATGAGGTTTTATCTACAAAAGTCTAGGTGTGGATTTCCTTTTAATTGTCTTGCTTTGGATCCACTGGTCTTCTTGAATATGCAAATTGGTATCTTTCCCCAATTCATGAAAATTTTCAGCCATCATGGCTTCAAATATCACCTGTACTTCATTCTTTCTTTCTTCATCTTCTGGAACTCCATTTAAACTGATTTTATTTATTCAACACTCATAAAGCATTTGCAAAGCTAAACTATCTTATCCTTGTAACAGACATATCAGGTAGGTTCTATTATTAACCACATTTTATGGACAAGGAAAACGAGACAGAAAGAGCTTAAGCAATCTGTCCAAGGTCACACAGCTCGTGAGCAACAGAGCCAGGTTTAAATGCAATGCCGGTTTCTCAGATTTCTCACTCAACTCTCGACGCCTTTTATGCTCTCTGCGGTATTTTTCTCTTTTTAAATGTCTCTTTTGCATCTGGGATACTTAATTTTCTCTTCAGGCATGTTAAAGTCATCCATTGAATTCTTAATTTTGGTTATTGTATTGCTCAGTTTTAGACGTTCCACTTTAAAAAAAAATAAAGGCTATGGACCTTTTATAGTTTCCTGTTTCCTGGAATTGTTTTCAAGCTTGTCTTTTATTTCTTTAAACATTGTAAGCACAGTTATTTACGTGTCTATGTCAATAATTCTAATACATGGAGTGTTTGTGTTTCTGTTGTCTCTGCTGGTTTACATTGTGTATTTGGATATATGAGTAATCTTATATGCAGAGATATATGCATGTTTCTGCCAGATGCCTGTAAAGCCTCATCAATCTGGAACTGCTCAAGGTTCAGGGTTCCCTGGACTCCTTAGATGATACAAATTTGTGCTAAAAGACAGTGTGGGATAATTAACTACGGTTCATCCTTACCCTGATGCTATAGCCAGCTTATTGTGGAGAGGGTCTTCTATAGATTACCTACTTTATATGGGTCCAGAGTTTTAATTTTCTGCCCCTATCACCCTGAAAATTAAATCAAAATGATACTTCAAGTATACCAAGATGCAAGAACGTTCTCGGCGCAACAGCAGCTTTCTCAGGGCAGGAGATGCTTCTGTGCTTGCTTGCTTCCTTACTTCACTAAGGTTCTGATTTCCCCTTTCATTAGGCTTTCGTGTTTCCTCATTCTCTTTATTATTTCATTAATGTCAGTGCCTCGCTGCTTTTAAAATTAAAACAAATATTTTACCCAACATTTGTTAGTTTTAACTAAGTGGGTTGGTCCAAAAGAATCAAATCTGATATCATTAAAAACTCATTCTCTCTGTTATTTTTTAAAGAAACACTTTCTTTTCAGGGCTAGCTATTCAGCCTGTGTTCCTGATCTCATCTCTAGAGTCTACTTTGTAATATTATCTGGCTACAGATACAGAGATATAGTAGATACATCCTAACTAAAAAAAAAAAAAAATCATTGCTTTTCTTGTATCTTCAAGCTCTCTGCTTTCCCTCCATGAACTTAATCTTCTTTCTTTCATTGCCAGAGCTCTAATATGACATTTTAGGTAGTAAAATTATAAAATTAGTTTTAAAATAAAAATTAATTAATTTAAAAAGTAATTCTAAATATTAAGAATAAAGACAACAAATAGTTTCTGCCGCACATACTTGTATTTCCAGTATTTTGCTTCTGAAGCTGTTGATCACAACAGTGACATCTCCTAGGTCTGGATCAGAGTCAGTTCCTTCATGCCTAAAAGTAGAAAAACAAGTAAAGATCTATAATCAGCTCAAGAAAAGACAGACAATTATGCTGGTACACATAATAAATTCATTTTGCAATAAATATAAGTGTACTGTCCCTTGTGTATCTGTCATAAGAGCTATTTCTGTAGTCAATTTAAGATATGCTATATAGTATGCTATAATTTTCAAAACTGTCCAATCAATTTTAACTTAAATTAAAATTATACAAAAGTAACTCACTAAATTTGGTACTGCCTAATCACTCAGAGATCTCAAATTATTGCTTATCTTTGCTGTTGTATACCAAGATTATCACAAAAGTAAAATCTCTCATATCTCTGTGATATTTGCAATGATAAGTAAAATATGAAACATTTTCTAGACTTCAAGTTGTTTATATATCATAATCAAACTGTCCAACAACTTTTCAATATCTACCAGCCATTTACAAATAGTAAAATTTGAAGTGTATTATTAAACTCATATGACAAAAAATGTGTTTATGATGTCCATGTACATCACTTGAATATTTCTATTTTATATTATACGTAAAACATTTCATTGTCTAATTTTTAAAACTGCATAATCAAATATGACAGTTTGCTCAATAATTATTTTTCGGATACTATAATATGTACTGAAAAATGTTACTGTAAGAAACACAGTAAAATTGAATTTTGTCAGAGGGAAAGCAATCTGATGTCAAATTAGTAGATACTTTAAGTTCAGTCAGATTTATAACATACACTTGAACATTTTTGTAAAACAAAAACCTGGGGATTCTAGCACTATGTTGACTAACACACGCCTTTGACTCCCTCTTACTTCCCATTCTCCAGCGGAGGTGGCTGCACCAAAGTAGAACACACAGCCCTGCCCAACAATTACCACTAGAAAATAGAAAGTGTTCTCCAACTTATGTAGCAGAAATGCCAAACTTCTTAAAAACTTTCAAGAACTTCCAGTCCCAAACGTTGCTCAAGGGCATCAGCAACTTTTCGATGCTGACTCCACCATCCACTGAGACCAGGGTAAAGCCAGGAAGCACAATAAGGCAGCCAGACCCGTACAAGATCTAAAACAACCTTCCTCAATGCCATCAAGTGGCAGAGGGAGTAGTGATGAAACTCTACTTCAGGCAGTATTTCAAGCACTTTATAGATGTTAACACGTACAACCATCACTTGAGGAGTGTACAGTTTTTATACTAGATCCAACCAGCCCAGGTAGTTTGGCTCTCACCACTGCATTATTAGACCTTCATAGGTCATGCCAGACAACTAAAAGTCACTGGATACGTGAGGACAGTCAGCAGCTTAAATGAAGGGAACAAGCTACGCAGACAGAACACATGGACTTCATTTATAAGGAATCAATGCAGGAAAAGAGGAGAGCATTCAAATAATTTATATCATCACTGAATATAAATGAGAATATTGTATCTTAGTAAAAGCCACTTATTTTAAAATGAAAGGATTCACTACATGTCAGGAAGCATTTAAAAATATACATATACTTTCCTTGGAATTCTAAATATAAGTATCATTTAAATTTTTGTAGCGGTAAAGATGAAGGCTTGTTTCAAGCATTCCACGGAAAATTAAAATGCTATTATCAATATTTATGAAAACCAAAAAAAGTTTTAGGCCTTAGAATCAAGAGTATATCACTAACGTTGCTGAAAAAAAACATTTCGTAGAAATGTGGTGTGTATTAGAATACGGCATTTCACCTTTTAGCATACATTGCATAACTTAGAAAGCTAAAAACTTTTTTGTTGTTATTGTTCCTAGATTCTTTTGCTGCTATGGGTCTGGTTTAGATTCTGCTAAACAGGTAGATTACATGTGCATGTGATTTGGAATTTAGAAGTAAGGTGATGCTTGGCTAGTTTCTTTTGGCAAGCAAAGTCATGGAGACCGAGAGGTTTTCTACATTAGTGTTCCAGTGCGCAAGCTCTTAGCTTTCTGGGAACTGAGGGACAGTTGATGTGCTGGTAAGCAGCAGCTAGGTGCTTTCTCACTTCTCTCATCATTGAGAGAGGCAGCAGCTCTTTCTGATTGGTCAGCTCCTTGGCTGTGTTCTGTTATGCATTCCTGGAAGTTAGTCCTGGAGAGCTTGCTTCTCCAGTCCTCCCTATCACAGTCAAGAATCCATTTCCCTGCATTAAATCCTTCTCTGAGAGCTGTAGCCAGGCTGTGAGTCTCCGCCTACACCCTCGTGGGGAATATTACCTTGTAATCTTAAACTCAGTAAGGTAAATGAGTTAAAAGGAAAGCACTTTGCAAGGTATTTTCTGAAGCTGGGAGACACAGAGGGCTGTTTCTGGCTCATGGCTGGGGAAACTAAAGTGGACTATAGACTAGGATCTGATATTTGAGAACTGAGCTATTACTGCTTTCATACAGGAGAGTGTTGCTGCCTTTGAGACTGGGTTGAACTCCTAGAGTTTGCTGGGCAAGTGATGTGTAAGTATTGCCCATGGATCAGACACGGCCAAGCAGGAGAGAGATTATGTTTCGTTATTACCATGATGCAGTCATGCATCCTGCCAATATGGCAACCGGGAGATATGAGGGGACCTTAGCAAAAGTAGGCTGTGGGTCTAACACACGATGCCTGAGACAGGGGAAGTTCTTATAGAAGCCAACAGGGATCAGGGAATCAGAGACCTATTAGGAGCCCACAGAAGCGCTGCACAAACAGTGAGCTATAACCACGGCCAGGCCCAGAGAGTGCAGAGCTGGCTTTTAAAGGGACCAGCTCAAGGAATTGTGGAGAAAGAATAGAAATTGTCTTAAGTCTCTCCTGCCTCCTGTATAAAACATAGGAGAAGCATTTGGTCTCAAAGGTACCAAACAAAATTATATACAAATACTAACTTGGCAGTTTGTTTTTCTGATTTCAAGTGAAAAGTCTAGCATAATAATTTAGCATACTGAAAGCACATATGTATGTGTAAAGTACCTGATATTCTTTATAATTTAATTAGGAAAATCTGAGAAGCATCTGTCCAATTTTAATAGAACTTTGAAGATTTTCTTTTCTAGGAGAGAATAATTTTGAGTATTTCTGTACTCAAGGTAAATAACAGTCAACACTGAGTCAGTGTAAATGATCTACGGTTAAAGATTACAATAAGATGGACTGAAATAAAAAGTACACATGTGAGGATTATGCCTAATAAACAAAAAGTCAAATTTTAAACGATCAAATTACTTAGCCCTAGTTTTAAAATCTGGATTTAGAAACTCATGTCAATATTACTGTAGCTTAGCTTTTCAGCATATTTCAAGAATATTTTTCCTAAATGTATTAGCAAATAGAATGAAATCATAAATTGGGAAAAACAGAATTTCTGTTTTTGTCATATTTTATACTGACCTGTTTTTCATTACTGGTACTTTAATTCCAAAAAAATGTTTACTACAAAGTAGCACCATTTATGTTTTTTCCATTCTGGATATTTAGTGAGATATTATTCACATTTAGAGTTAAGTAAATTGTGACTGAGAGTTTATGGTTTAATACAAATTTGAAATTACTTGTATTACCAAAAGTTGTCTAACTATGAATGAGAAAAAGCAGTTTTCCACTAATATATTAGTGGTACTTAAAATATAACATCAGGGGCTGTTTTCTCCCTAAATCATCCATTTATAGATTGTGTACGATAGCAAACAATCGTAAAGACGATAAAACAGAACCTAATATAAGGTATAGTTGTACATAATATATATTATACATATTATATATAAGATTGCACACATATTGCATACTATATATATAAATAATATACAGTGGTATTCGTAATTGTAATTTGTCAAAAAAGAAGGAATAAGGAGGAAATATACATTTCCTCAATATGTGAGACACTGCTTTCTATGATTACCTCATTTAGTCCCTACCAAGACCCCACAAGGTAGATAGGATTATCCCCTCTTGTTATGAGGAAATAAAGATTC